TGCGTGCGACTATGAAATAATATTTAGGACCCGATCAGCATATTTGTGTTTGCGCTGAGGGAGCTTCAAAGGTTCTAATATACGTACGTGTTTCTGCAGCGTTGAGTAATGTATCACAGACATATCCTCTCAATATAACAAACACAGTGTTGACGGGGTGTAAATAAGATAGCCTATTCATTGTGCAGTGTATAGAGCTTCGTCGATTATAATGGAGTTTTGTGAGATCACGATGAACTAAGATGAGTGGCAGCTTTTAATGATTATTAAGGGAGTTTGCAAATGTGATATTGATTTAATACAACAGTTCATTAAACAAGAAGCTAATATTAAGTGACTTATATTGTCTGACAACAACACAATTGCCTTATTTTGCTCTATTTCAACAACAAAAAATAGTTTTTTTTTTAAAGTAACAGCTGAGCCGCTGCGCATCGCCATTCAAACACAGCGGTGATTCGTTTATGAATGAACTGCGTTTTAAAACGAATCCAGTGAGTCAATGATTCAATTACCCATTCATAAAGACAGTCACGTACTTCGTTCCTGAATGATTCAGCTGTTCGAACGAATTTATTGAATGAATACCCAAGATTGCTTGAAGAACACAGATACCATATATTTTGTGCAGTCGCATGTTTATTGTCTTCAGGTTTCCTCAGTTAAAATGTCTCTATCTGCGATTTATTCAGCTACAGCGATCACTGGATACTTTTTTCCTGGAGCATTACTTCTGCTATGCATATGTGGAGTTTCTGCGCAAGGGCGCCCTCCGGTTTCCAATATGAATTAAACAGTCATTACATTACGTGTGTACTCAGTAATGCTCACAACACCCTATTTTGGGTAAAAATAGGAAAGATAAAACTTTTCTCTAAAGAGATGGGATTCCCTAAATTATCGTCATTGATATCGTTATCGCAATAAATATCAGAAATTATCGTGATATATTTTTAAGCCCATATCGCCCATCCCTATCATTTACTTACCCTTATGGCAGTCCAAACCTGAATGACTTTCTTCATCTGAAACAGAAGATATTTCGAAAAATGTCTCAGTCTTTTGTTGTGCATACAGTGAAATTCAATGGTCACCAAACCTTTTTGGTTACCAACATTCTTCAAAATGTCTTCATTTATGAGTGAGCCATCCATGTTAGAACAGCAACCATTTCCAAACAGCAACATACTGAAATACACTAAATGCACACTAAGTACAGCTCAAGATGAAAATGATTCATAAGTTCTGCTACCTCTTCTCTCCAGGTAATTCCTCTTTGTCGGCCTCCACTCTGGTGACAGTGCACATTCTGGATGTAAATGACAACAGCCCAGTTCTGGTGGGCGATTACTCCTGGAAATACCTGTGTACACCTCGCTGGGAGGATCAGGCTCTGGTTCTGGCTTCTCGGGACAGCGATGGGCCCCAGCATGGAGGAAGGCTCAACTTCTCCCTCCGCAGTGACGCCACTGTCCGCCGCAACTGGAAGCTCACGCCTATCAATGGTTTGTCTCTTTCTTGACCCACTTCCAGCCCCTCTACGTATTGAATAAATTGAATGTGAAGTGACAAATCTCCCCTGCCACCCAAGAACTACGTGGCCCGTCTTTAAAAATCTTTTTGTCTGTCAGTCATTTCAAAATTACATGTCAGACGATCTTAATTTGCCCAAACATTCTATAATCACAATAACACTGACAAACCCAGTTACGTTGACCTCCTCAAGCAATGACGTCAATGTGGATAAAATTAGAGATTTGAAAAGAAAAAAACTGCTGTTCTGTGGCAGTAACATCTGTGCAGTCAAATTGAGATGTCATCAGAGCTGGGTGTAATGCGTTCCACCTGCTAAATCACACACACAGTGCAGGTCTGGGGAAAAGAGCGTACTGAGAAAGAAGGAAATTGCCCTCCATGTCTAGTGTCTTCAGACGAATATGTGTTGGATGTAATAAGCGTAATGGCTTTCTTCCTGATAGCTTAAGGCATCATTAATGTGCCAAGCTCATGCCGGTGAGCAGGTTGACTTAGTTGCAGCGTCTGAGTCACGGACCAGAATCCAATAGATTTTGATTCTGTTGTTCACTCCTTTTCTTTCACGCTCAATTTTTTTCTTCTCGGTCTGTGTCTAAGTTTTTCTCATGTTTTTTTTTTTTCCTTGTTGTTAATGGATAAAATAGGCCCCTTCTAGTGACATGGGGTATTTATGTTGCTTTTAATTTATATGATCTCACAGCTGGGGCCGGTTGGTTGAGAGGCTAAAAGTGTACTTTCATTGACTTTTCATCTAATTGTTCTTTAGACATCCAACAGTGAGTTTCTTTTTTTCACACTCACCTCTCTCTCTTCCTTTTTTACTCATCCAGCTTTACATGCTCCATCATTAAAGCGTGTCGGGAATGATGGTGAGGGATGACGTAGTCTGGCGTCTGTAGGTCTCAATTTATATTTCACCCTGAACACGACTGGTCTTCAACGAGCCCACGAGAGCCCATGTTACACCTCTCTTTATTTCCTTACACTGGCTACCAGTTGCGGCTCGCATCAAGTTCAAGACATTGATGCTTGCATATAGAACAGCCACAGACTCAGCACCCACCTACTTCCCCTCACTACTACGAATCTACATCCCCTCCAGAAGTCTGAGATCCGCTAGTGAGCTACGCCTCGTGGTACCATCACAGAGATGCTCAAAATCACTTTCCAGAACATTCTCGTTCACCATTCCTGGCTGGTGGAATGATCTTCCCACCCCTATCCGGAATGCTGAATCTCTGACAATTTTCAAGCGACAGCTGAAAACTCATCTCTTTCGACGCTACTTGACTTCATCCTAAATAAAAAATAAAAAAAAACTTTTTCTTTCTCTTATTTATTCCTTTCCTTTTCTAGCTTGTACTTATTTGAACATTGCCGTTACACCTCTCTTTATTTCCTTACACTGGCTACCAGTTGCGGCTCGCATCAAGTTCAAGACATTGATGCTTGCATATAGAACAGCCACAGACTCAGCACCCACCTACTTCCCCTCACTACTACGAATCTACATCCCCTCCATAATACTGAGATCCTCTAGTGAGCTACGCCTCGTGGTACCATCACAGAGATGCTCAAAATCACTTTCCAGAACATTCTCGTTCACCATTCCTGGCTGGTGGAATGATCTTCCCACCCCTATCCGGAATGCTGAATCTCTGACAATTTTCAAGCGACAGCTGAAAACTCATCTCTTTCGACGCTACTTGACTTCATCCTAAATAAAAAATAAAAAAAAACTTTTTCTTTCTCTTTATTTATTCCTTTCCTTTTCTAGCTTGTACTTATTTGAACATTGCCTAAAACTTGGTATTACAAGCACTTCCTGTGTCTTCCCCAACTGTAAGTCGCTTTGGATAAAAGCGTCTGCAAAATGACTAAATGTAAATGAACACGTGTCTTTGCTTGTTTGATGTGTATGTCCACTCATGACACAAGCACATCCACGTCTTTAATGTCTGATGGAGTTCAGTTCCTGAATTTGAATTAAGGATAAAACAATAAAGATTCAAAATTGCAAATAAGATGTCATCTGCTTGCCTGTATTTAGTACGCATCATCAGTAAGGTGTACACTGAATTTGATATTTTTAAAAATCACATCGTTAAGTGTTTTTCATGGTAATAGTTTTAGGATATCCTGCTGTTTTTAGTGATTGAAATACTGGCAGGTGCTGTATATGGATTGCACATGCCCAAAATATGAAGTCTGATCACATATATTTGTTTTTCTTCGTTTGAGAGGTGATCTACAGTGGGGCAAAAAAGTATTTAGTCAGCCACCAATTGTGGAAGTTCTCCCACTTAAAATGATGAGAGAGGCCTGTAATTTTCATCATAGGTATACCTATGATGAAAATTACAGGCCTCTCTCATCTTTTTAAGTGGGAGAACTTGCACAATTGGTGGCTGACTAAATACTTTTTTTCCCCACTGTAAATATTCAGGGCTTGAAACAGATGGAAAATTGACACGCTTGTGCTGCAGTTTTCCCGGTCTCCGTGCCAGTCACGTGAATGAAAACTATGAATAGGCCCAATGGATAGTTGTAGTGTACTGTCTATATTGTGTAGAATACATTTCTTTAAGTGCTTCCACCAGAAAGCTTTTGATGTGGAGGCTATGGGCAACATATTGGTCACCTCTGACGAGAGATACCTGTGAGAGATAATCCTGTACTAGTTTAGTACTGGTGACCCCCTTTAGTCCCCTGTTGACTAGCACATTAAAGGACTCTAGTGTCAAAGGACAGTAGTGGGGCTTCTTGGACCATTGATAAGAGAGAGCACAGACTGATAACAGCCCCTTGTTTACTGGACTGAGTTCTTGCTTTTGCGTCACACGGCCAAATCCCGATTGAGCAGAGTGAGGAGTTTTCCCATAAGATTTACTCAGCAGCATTACACTCGACTGCTTGACTTAGTTTAATGTTTTGTCACCTAATTACTGTATTTCTGTTAATGTCAAGGGTAAATATTATAACTCGTATCAATAACTAGAGAAAATAATGTTTGTATGGACAAACTTTGATGCTGGCTTGACAAAGCCTCATCTGAAAGTTTAAAATAAAGTTTTAAGTTTGATGGTTATATAGATGTTATACAGCTAGCTAGTTGGCATTGAATGCAAGATTTAGCATGTTGCTAGCATTGTCTTAGTATGTTACTAACAGATTTTAACACATTACTAGAATGTTATAGCACATTGTTTAGCTGTTTTAGCACATTGCTAGCATTTTAACATGTTGCTAACCTGTTTTAGCACATTATTATCATGTTACTAGCTATGGATACTAACTTGATGATAACATATTTTAGTGCATTACTAATATTTATATTGTCAAGCCGACAGAGCAATAACATTGTTCTTTATGACTAATCTTTCATGGAAATGGATTTCATTTTTTCCACAGACACTCACACCAACCTGTCTTTGAATGTCCCATACCTGCCTCCAGAGGTTTACATCGTACCATTTACCATCTCAGACAGCAGCTCTCCACCCAGAAGCACGTTCATCAATCTGCCAGGTAACATACACGGACTAACATAGAACTGAATGAATGAAAAGAGAGCATGTTTACGTAAAGAAAGAAACCATGTACGTCATTTCATTACATTCATACATTGCATTCACTAGCTGTCTGAACACAATGTTAAATGGACTCACTGGAGACTGTAATGTTCACTGCAGGTCACAAATTACATTTTAAAATTTAGATCTCTCACAATATTCCCCCAACACAAAGAAATGCAATTAAGCCACATTTCCATGATAAAGCAAGCAGAGTCACGTCATTCACATTATTAACAATGTACAAATAAGCTTAATGACTGTTCAGTCAGAGGACATTTGTGAAACAATTTACCACTAATGTAGTCAGTATCTGTAATGATGGAGCCTTGTTTTCTCATAAAGCTTACTGATGTGAGTTTGTGAAAATAGGTGAGATTTTTTTTCATGTTAAATCAATGTTTATTTAGATTTTTCCTTTTGCATATTCTCTGGAAGGTACATTGTAAAAAGTGGATTAATGCAGTTGAAGTTTAATTCATTTAAAAATAAATAAAACATGCATACAGGTTAATTAAAAAAATATTGGTCTTGAAAAGAACATTTAAATATGATTCATTCATATTAAATAAAAAAGTTTAATTGAATAAAAACAGATAGTTTTTATGTTGAGCATATTGTATGTGTATGTACGTTATTTGACAACAAGGGGTTCTCAAGGGGGCCACAGGATGATTTAAAATTAATTTATTATTAATTAATAATTATATAAAAAAATAAAACTTAATTAAAATGCTAAATAAAAACAAGATATAATCTAAAATCATATATATAGTGAATCATGTTTAATTTAACATATCAAGCAGTGTTGTTGTAATTACAGCAGACATAATTATCTTTGCAAATATGGGGGCCTTTGAGTCAAAAAGGTTGAGAACCAATGCTGTGTGTTTTTGTGTCTGCTTGGTCATGCATTCACATTCATTGGTTTAATAGATTCTCTCTTGAAACATCCTGTTCACACAGTCTCCAGTGATGCATGGCATGGCCACAGGTGCATGGCTCCTCTCTCTTTCTCTGTGTCTGACACTCATGCTAGTTTCCCACGAGACCTCACCGATGCAATCACCCTCACCTAGTGCTCCATAAATATGTCCTATTTTCCTTGCCCCTCTAATGCATTTAAAAAGAGCTCAATGGTTGTTTTTTCTCTCACAGTGACGGTTTGCCCATGCAATGTGAGAGGGAACTGTAGAACAGCACCAAAACAGCTTCAGGGCATGCCCACTATTCAGTCAACAGTGGGCGTCCTGCTCGGAACTCTGGGAGTTATAGGTGAGACGTGTACACAGCTCATTCAGAACATCCTGAAATGATTGGAAACGGAAGAGGATAATACAATTTGCAGTTCCTGCAATCACATTTTATGTTCTTGTTTACAGGCGTCATACTGATTGTTATATTTGTGAGACTGTCCTACCAGAATTCAACACCACCAAACAAAGGCTGCCAGGAACGAGTGCCACTTAAAGTCTCTCTCTAACTTCTGAGAGTTTTTAGATCATTCGGTCATTTGGTCACTACAGTTTTGAAAGTAGCATCAACTCTGAGGGATTTCTCTGTTTTAAGTCTAGTTTGCTAACTTTTGATGCCATACGATTTTGGTTTTAGTGATCAGTAACATATTAGACACTATATATATATACAGTATATATATAGATTAGTACCACTGTTCAAAACTTCAAAACACAATTCAAAACTTCTCTCTACATGTGATTTTTCTGTTATTTATTTGTTTTTAATCTTTATTGCATTCGTACAGTAGTTTATAATAATTAGTGGGATCAATAAATAAATCAGTTAATTCATTTTCTTTCCTCTCTGAGTTGTGTGATCAATGAACTGAAATAAAGAAATAAATCTGAAAACAAGCTCTGTTTGATCACTCATATACACTGAGGTAAACAAAGTTAATTAACTTTATGAGACCTTCAGAAAATTTTCTCTTTATATTTCTGTTATTTATTTGAATGCAAACTACTGTAATTAAAATGTCTTGTTTACAATCAAGTAGATAGACACAGTACAGTGCCATTACAGTACATTACACTTACAATACAGTAGTGGCAATTAAAACGTTTGGAATGATAATTACATATTTTTTTCCCTCTGGCGTATGATTGATTTAGTTCAAATGTAATAAACAGGCTCTGTTTGGTCACTCTCAATGAACTGAAATAAAGAAATAAATCTGAAAACAAGCTCTGTTTGATCACTCATATACACTGAGGTAAACAAAGTTAATTAACTTTATGAGACCTTCAGAAAAATTTTTCTTTATATTTCTGTTATTTATTTGAATGCAAACTACTGTAATTAAAATGTCTTGTTTACAATCAAGTAGATAGACACAGTACAGTGCCATTACACTTACAATACAGTAGTGGCAATTAAAACGTTTGGAATGATAATGACATATTTTTTTCCCTCTGGCGTATGATTGATTTAGTTCAAATGTAATAAACAGGCTCTGTTTGGTCACTCATATTAATAGAGAAGAAAATAGACTGACATTGAGAAAGCAAGAGAGAGCTTAACCTCATTCATGTTTTTTCAGGCCAAGCTGTTTTAGAGATGGAGAATAATCATCCCATCCCCCGGGATAATAACCAGGCTGAAACAGTTTCACATTTAGTGAGACAGGAAATATTACCCACAATCCCTTTTAGCCAGCCATCTCCTGTTTATGTTGAGATGACACTGGCGAACGTGACCCAGATGACCTTACAAGTATGCTATATATAGACATTGTGCGCCAAAAATAGCCACGCCGCTGAGTGACGCCAAACAGCAGCCTTCCCGCTATGACTGTAAACGAAGCCTGTTTGGCATCGAATGTATAGCAGGCACTATTACGTTCTGCTCATGTTCCCAGCCTCAGGTGCTCTTTTAAAATATCGGTAAGCTTGTCACATTGCCTCATGCTCTTCTAGTCGTGTTTCTGCTATATCATTCACAGGCAACAGATGAACAGTGGATTCTCTCAGCATCTCTTTCATGAGTATTCTTCTATTAAAGCATAGAATCATAATATCACATCCAGGGTTGCTCATTCCTCTGGGGTGTAAGGAAAGAATTGTAATGTCCAAAAACAACATGCTGATTATTTACCTTCAAGCAGAGTTCCTGATACAGATGTTTTCAGGATGTTCCCTAATGTAATCTTAAAAATACAACATGTACGCAAATACTACAAAATATGAATTGCTTTTGGAACTGTCAACACATTATTTTCCTACGAACAACCCCATGAGGGTTATGAATGGTTATGGTTGCGTATTTTTGAAGGGCAGCAGCCCAAAATAATGTTTACAAAAAGACCCAGTCATTCGTAGGTCAAGCCTAATAATACTGTGAAAGGCAGGGTCTATATTTAGATTCTCTGGCCTTGTTTTAGTTCTCTTATCAGATCGGTACAGCTGGCTAACAGGCCAGATTAAACTATCAACCAGCTGAATCTGTGAGCTTTAGCTTTTAGCCTCTGTCAAAATGTATGTACATTTTGCTACAAAGAGAGGAAATACAGACTGAAAAACAGGGTTTTGCAAAACTCAAAAAACGTACATATACATTGATCACAGCAGGTTCCAGCTGAAATGAATACTAGCGGCAGTAAAACACAATTTTTTTCCTGTTTATACAAATTATGATCACAGGGTAAAACATTAATAAAGACCTACAGAACAGTAGTTGAACAATATATAGAACAATACTATGTTATGATTTGAAAACACTTTTATCATAGTGCATAACTGACCCTTCGCAAAGTCCCGCCCCCCTTCATTACTGTTGCTACATCCGACAAGTCATGGTGCTCTGACGCCACACATCACGTTCTCACGCTGTGAAAAATACATTGCGGAGCAAAGTGGAAACTGACAATCTGTCAACAGACAAGACAGAGCAGGTAACTTTTGGTATGAAACAAAGTCTCAGCTTTCAAATTGGGTAATTTTTTAAGAAATGCAAACAATAGTTACCATTTTGTGACTTTTTAATGTGTTGTAGTGCCTTAGTTCAAACGGCAGTGAACCGATCATCTCTTCCTCTTTACTATAGTATGAAATAAACATGAATAAACATCAGAAGGTATCTTGTTTCGACTGCTATACACACCATTTTTCAAGTTAAGCCCACCGACATTAATCTTCTCTCCTGACTGGTTTGTTTGTTGGACAAAAATGGCATCATGATTCGGCATCATGATTGGTCACATGGCCTTTCAAACAAATTCCCTGCAAAGGGTCAAATTGTATTCTAACATATTTTGGCACACCTCCATATGTATGACTTTTCTGACAAGTTTGCTTAGTAGCTCACCTGGTACAGCATTGTACTTGTAATGTGTAATGCTTGGGTAGGAGTCCCATAAAATATGACATGGATCACAATAAAAAAAAAGCTTAAAGGCTTTGTAGAAGCAAGATAAACTGGCATGGATGTTTCAGGAAATGTGTATTGATCTTATGATTACTTATCGGTAGGGTTTAGGTGGAACATTCTTTTCAGATTCAATATAGCATTAACCTTTTAGCACCACACAACAGTCATTTAATTTCCAAATTGCTTTTAACTCCACTCACTGGACATTTTCCACTTTAATAGTGTCACTAAACGTGCAAGAAGCAGCGTAATATCATTTTGCAGAAACGTCCACAGGCACGTTTTTTCCAATGAAGCTGGGTTAAAAAAAAATCTTTCTGCACGAGTCCTGTATAGTGATTTGCCAAGTGTCTCAGTCAGCTGTAAGTCCTGCTTCTATTCTTGGCCAGGAAGAGTGTAGCTGTGATGTATACATGAGACATATAAACACGTTTCAGGGTGATAAAGTACCTGTGATGCTGTTGGTTAGCAGAAAATTATTTTGTGGAAAATATTTTCCAGAGCTGGAAAGTGTCCCCTTTCTTCCGTTTCGCACCACTTTTCCAGAGAGTGTAAAGGCTCACAGTGCATCGCAGCTCTTATCGTTAGCTGTTTACACATGTGGAGGCTGAGACTGGTGACCTGAAAGCGATGCCACAGTGAACAGGCCAGCATGAAGATTGGCCATTCTTGCCCCTGCCACTTTCAGCAACACCCTTCCACACAGGCCATGTGCTCACACTTGGGCAGGATTCAACATCAGCAGTGCACTGCATCTTTCTATTTATAATCCTTTTTAATCTATCCAAAATGAGCCAAGTGTTCGCCTGCCTGATTAATTTAATAGGGCCTTGGCCACTTACCCTCTCTCCACTTTTCCCTGTCGACCCATCTTGTTTACCGCAGCTGAGATTGGAAAAGGTGAGTGAAGGTTAGCCGTCTAAATCGGAGAGGCCTCCTTCAACCAGAAAAACCTGTAATTGTTTTGATCTGATGCATATTTAATCTTGCCACATTGAGTGATGCAATCTCCAGCATTTACATTTTCATTACACAATAATAGTGTGCTTACATACTTGAGACTTAATGTCACATTTTATTACTGTTACCTCTCTGGTAACACTCTGGTAACTTGTATCACTGCATACAAGGTATGCATAGGTAACAATGTTACTTATTGTAAATTTAAGATGATCTGAAATTAAAACTGGGGGCATTTCTATTTCAGCAGTCAAAATAAAATTAAAATGTCCAATGTTATTACCGGAATTTAAAAAGTCAAGACAGTGTCTGCATCTGTATTATGACCATTGTCAAGTGTAATGCTATGATGAACTATGGTATCATTGCAAAGGTTGTGTGTGTGATTTTTTTATCAGCATCTCACGCAGTGAGCATCACGGGGGTCATTTATAAAATGTTGCGTATAAACAGTCCTAAATTTGTTCTAAGATCATTTCTCAAAAGTGCCTAAGTGCGCACAAAAACACGTGCATACGCCTCTCTTCCAGAAGTGACATTTATAAATCACAAATGATCTTGAAATTGTGCGCAGCTGACTGGTGTCAGATCTCCGCCTTGTAAACGCCCCCTAATTAATATCCTTACCATATAAAAGAGCACTCGCCAATATCCGAATCTCTATGCTAGAGAATGACGAGCACAAAGAAAAATAAAAACTTTACTGAGTCTGAAATCGAGGTCCTGCTGGCGGAGGTAGAGGTTCGTGCGGGAACGATTTTTATTTAATAACGTGTAATTATTCTGTGGACAAACAATGTGTGTGTGGTTATATCTTTTTATATTGACTATTATCAAAATTACTACTTCTATAAACAACAGAAATAATAATCATAAAAAAAATAATAGTAATTATAAAACAATTAGGTTTCCAAAAGTAAGAATAAAAAGAATAAAAATTTCAGTCATCTTATAAAAGGGACATTCTACCAGAAATGTACATTATCTGTCCTTGACTTGTTACAGTGAATAAAAAGTATTACATCCAAAAAAATGTCTAAAACTGACTGATGGTTGATTTCTGTGAGTTGTTCTGTAAAGGAATATGTCATTCATTAGGTTCTCAGATATTTTTAAATTGATTAAAAACACTTTTGAAAATTACAAATCCTTGTCCTCAGTCAAATTTGACCTACAGCTTTCATAGTTTTGTTATGCTAAAA